GAAATTAATTTTAAAAGTACAACTCCAAAACAGTTTCACCTTAAGTCGCTAAATAGTTTTCATTACGTTTGTTAATTATTCCCAACCGGAACAAGTTGGAAGAGCCTAGTTAACCATTTTTCTGCGAAAATAGTACCAAGGGTATGTATGATCAACAATAACGTTCTTTTTTCTGTTATAAGCTAAATGAAATGTACTTTCTTTACATACAAATGCTCTATTACCATTAGTTTCTTTTGATTTGTTAAATGAATTCCATGTTCCTGTATATGTAAATTTAATAATTTTGTCACAAAAATGATTGATATTCAAGCTTGTCAAAAAATGTGATGATCTACATAAGACGAAAAATAAATTTTTGAACGGTAAGAATCTGTTTAGAAACTTCTAAAACACTCGACGTGTAGTGAGTAAAGAAAACAAAGAGCAAAGTATAACTATTCATTTAGAAAATATGTAGATCAAAAGATTAATCTAAAAATACTGTGCGTCACATTTGTTCCTTTTTTCTATGTAATTGTCCCAGATCTCTAAGTTTCCCTTACTCAATTCTTTTTAAAAAACTGTCATGCACAGTACAACCAAGTTTTGTGACTAGTCTCTCTCTTGAAACAAACATCAGATCACTTTCTCTTCTTCGTTTCTCTCGATCTCTCTCTCACATACGTCTCGCAGTTGGTGACTGTCTTTCTTTGTTCATCGGAATTGTCTTCTCCATATATGAAGAAGAGAAAGTGATCTGAGGTTTGTTTCAAGAGAGAGACTAGTCCCAAAACTTGGTTGTACTGTGCGTGACAGTTTTTTAAAAAGAATTTTATAAGGGAAGCTCGGAAATCTGAGACAGTTACATAGAAAAACATTTTTTTAATTTTATTGTATTCTGAGATATATTCTCTCAGTGTTTTGCTTTTGAATTTTCAGCTCCTTAGAGAAAGGAGGAGGACAAATGTTAAGCTAACACGCGCCTCTTTGCCTCCCCTTAAGTGAAGCCACTTTTCGGAAAAAAACTTTTGCTTGAAAAGAATGAAAACATTTGAAAAAAAATTCAGATAGAAAATATCTCAGAAAATTGGTTATGATCTCATTTTACTCAGAATTTAACGGGCTATCGAACGATTTGGTTTCTGTGGCTTCCAAAGAGTTTCAAGAGTTCTGAAACCGAAGCGGTTTTCTGGAAAACCACGGGTGTCATTTTGACTGAACTGGTTGGGTAATTTCGACACGAAATTCGAACCTGAAAACCATGCCATTTGAAAGAGCACCTCTTGAACTAACAGGAGGAAACAATTTCTTTTTTGTTCACGCATTCGCAATACCGTTTGGACGGGTCACAACTTTTTTGGCTAAAAACGACCAGCTCGTGGAAGGCCACTGTATTAAATTGTAATCTGTCGAAGCTAATTCTTTTGGATTCGAGTAGGGCACGTTGAATTACGTATAGAAAAGGTCTTCTAGACCGTCTTGGTCCACACTCGCCTCAGCTATATGGCTAAAATAGAACAACCACCGGTTTTGGGCTGAATTTCATTTTTACTGCAGATGGCCAAGGAGACATTTATAAATTCATCGTTCTAGAAATCGTTTTCAAAACTTCTGGGACACCTTTTATATGCTGTTTACAAATGAATTCCTGTCCTCGTACCATGTATGTGTGAGGTATATACATACACATTAGGCACCTATTCTATATTTCTGATTTCCTGCTTTGCTTGCACTGTTTTTTGAACAGTATACGATCAAGTTTCCTGTTTTTCTGCTAGAAAATAAAATAAGGTGAATATGAAAAAAATATTTTTTTCTAAAAAAAGACCTCATTAAGATGTCAAATGTGTCATGACATCCCAATGATAGTCTATTAATTAACCAGTTGACTATTATTGCTTTTCTAGCATATTTTTTAAACAAAAAATACTTTAAAAATTCTGACTAAAAAAAATCTTTGAAATAACAAAAAAGACAAATGTAGGGAGGCCAATCTAAGGAAGCCAATCCATATCATTCAAACTTTTTTCTGATGTTTTAATATATAATTCTTATGCAAATACAGAAAACAAAGAAGTTTTTTGTTGAAATATTATACCTTGTTTGCGTCAGTTTGTCAATAACAGCATTTTTTCCTTACATATATATATATATACAAAGAAGAAATTCATCTCTTAATATTATATTCACAGAAAACAATGATTTATTATATATTTCTATTATCACTATTAACCGAGTTAGGGGCACAACCGACTGCATCGTTGTGTAACATGTGAAATAAAGCCGTTTAGTTTTGATCAATCATTAAGTGTTCCATCAAATTGTAAATATGAAAAAATGCATATTTGTACGTTCACGTTCTATGTTTACTATAATAATCGAACTATGTGGATGGATTTCGAAGCACAGGATGGTCTATAAGAAATCGAAAATTATTTTATTCAAGAACAAACACATCTCGGTATAAACGGCAGACAATTTGGTGTAATAATACATTTTCGTTGTTATAAAGTTGATAATTGTAACTATGATTATGCTGTTAAATTAATTAATCATATAACTAAACGAACATATAATGATGAACAAATGTGGTCAAAATTGGCCTCACTATTATATATTCCTGAAGGTTCAATAAAACTTGAATGTTATGACAGAGATAATAATGTTCAACAATGTTTACTTGTTGACAATGTTTGTCATGTGATTATGAATAATAATCTTACAATACAAAAACAATGTACTAATCACTCCGCTCCACTTGATGTTAGTTATTTCAAAACTGAAGAAAATCCGCCAGTTTCACACCATCCGAAGTATAATACAATTACTTATGTGTGTAATAAACCATTGTGTAAGAGTGATAAAATAGTTAATGAAGTGAAAAATATATTAAACTAGCAGAAATACCCGGCGTTGCCTGGGTTCTTGTAGATAACTCGGCTCCTGCTTGATTGATTTTAATGAAATTTTCGTGGCTTATCTTAGATTTTGACCAAGAAACAATGTGCAAAATTACATCATTCTAGACCTTACCGTTTGGGCGTACATTCTGAGACAGACAGACAGGATGACAAACATTGGAATATATTATAGATGACTATAAATTCATCGATAATATCAACCAAAATATCACAGAAAATGCAAATGGACATGTAAACAATCGATTCAATTGGTTTATTGCATTGATCCCTTTGATAATGATCGTCTATTTATAATCAATTTATTTTTCTTTAAAATTACTTACCACTGTTGTGCAAGTGAATTGAAGTAGCTATGGCTAATCACATACAAGTAAGCACTCTATTATTTGCTCAAGTTTTCTTGCTGTGAGATGCTTCTTTTGTTAGAAAAAATAAAGCTGCACCGTTCGAAAGAAAAATTTTACTTTATTCACTATAGATGGAAAAATAATGAACATATACTTTGAAATCTGAAATCTCATTAAACTCAATGTCGGTGTCTCTCTCTCTCAAACTGTATATGTACAAGGGAAATGATATGAATTCTAAATATTGCTTTTCGTGTTTCTGTGTCTATGTTATGAGTTAGACTCAGTATGTATGTCTGTTTTTCTCTAACATTATTGTACACTATATAGTAATTTGTATTTTAATGAGCAGACAAAATGATGTCATGGTTTTTTTCTTCTTTTTTTCTGTGTTGTTCTTATATTTATTTGAATGTAACTATTTTCTTTCCTCTTCAATTGATAATAAAGCTTATAATAAAGTAACCTCTATATCAATTTAAGACCTGCGATTTTTTCACCATCTGACAGTCAATACTTAAGGACATCTTTTCATATGCGGAAAGGGTTCGAGAAAAAATTCTCAAATGCAGTTTTTGAAGAGATCTTTAGAAAATCGACTCGTGGTTGGAAAATTTAAAATAGGAATCTGTTGATATTTTTCATGGATGGATAGTCCAAAGTATCCTCTACAAAACGGGATTTAAGCAAGATCTTACCTACGCTTGTACTTATCGTAAAGTTCATATTTTGGTTTTCTTCATTTCATTTTTTGTGTTTCATCTTTTTCTTTTTTTTGCTTTTTATTCGTATACAATATGTTCATGTTTCATCGCTTGACTTATCAGAACCAGTTGTGTCAGAGTAGCAAGATACTCATCGATTAGTATGTACATGATTTTGCAATTTCATAGATTTGAAATGATCAGAAGGACGTCTGTTGACAAGAAGCACTATATTGGTGATATAGATTCCCTAATCTGATAGTATTTTATTATTCATTCTATATCAGATTTGTGAAGACTATTTATAATAAACTTGAAGTCACTTACAAATTCTGTTTTAATTGTTTTATTTCATCATTAAGCGTCTACTGGATACGTCAAATAATGCTGAAGACAGTTCATATGGTCGGGGAGTATACATGGATATATGAGCACACATAGACAAATATCAATAAATCTCGAGACATTGAAAGCAACGTATTTCTATTGGATAAAATTCAAACTTTTTAACAATATACTCAGCACATGTGCACATAGATGTCCTGACGTAATACTATTAGATTCTCCTATCAAGGTTTTTTGAATGTTATATGACATTTATGTAGATTTTTGTCTTTTTGTCGATAATAACGCGTTTTCACAGCAACAGACTAGGGATTTTGTGTTGTTCTTCAATAAAACTGTAATTCCTCCGATACCAGAGACGTGGTAGTCGGGAAAATTATTCTTTTTGGTTATATAACCATTAACATGATGTGTTAACATCTATTACAATATTGAAAAACGTTTTTCACACAAGTCTTGGCTATATTTACGGCTACAGATGATCCCGAATATATATATAATACAAACCATCACCGAGAAAGAAAATATTCTAACTATGTATATTTTTCAGTTGTTTCTTATCGTTCTCATTACTTCCAGTGCACTTGGTGGTGGTATTTCAAATTACCAATGCAATTAAGAAACTGCATAATTATCTCAATTATTTTAAAGACTTTGCAGCAAATTTGAAAAAGCAAACAGGTGAAGAGCTACCAATTAATTATAACGTACAAATGCAAGATGATCTAAATTACACGCGAGGTTTGGTGGCCATAAGTCCTCATATCGACAAACGTGTTCCACCTGGTACCATTTTTAGTACGCCAGAAGTTCTCGAATCGATCAATGCAGAAAAGGTTTTTGAGGAAGAAATTCAAGTATACGGTCCACTTAGATATGGAGTAGCTGTGCCGTTCACTGAAGCAAATGGACAACAAGTGTTTTACATTACCGCAATACGATCGAGTTCAAAGCTAGCGACAACAACAAGATTTGCCATTGGACAATTCATTGGTTATATTCATCATTTTTACACTCTTTTACCCAAGAATAAAGAAAATGTATTGACATACTTTGTCAAATCAAGTTCAACACTAGAATGGGTTCGTACATTAACAACTGTCAAAGATGAAAATGATAATTATGCGACAGGAACAACGCTAACAAATGCAGCTGTGATCAAAAAGGGGAAAAGGGGAAAAACATTTGAAGGAGTTGTTACATTATTTGGCCGAAACTATAGTGCAGTGTATAAACCATTTTTTTTATTTCATGCGAAGGTTTTACTGTTTAGTACTACGTTAACAAAATAAGTTCTACAGTATTTAAGAAGGAATGTAATACGTTTGCCAAAAAGGTAAATAACTGGAATAACCACTCGGTTACAGTGATATGTACGGCTACGTTCTAATAAATGAGACTTTACTTTTATGCCAGCTTTGATATTTTTACACGCCGATTTCTTGAGTGCCTATCCTACATACGCATCTACTTTCAAAATCGGCAACCCTACATTGGATTTGATGCAAAAGTTGTGCAAAGGTTTGTGTCATGCTCTGGCAAGGAGACATCGCATTGCCTTCAGTATATCTTGAGAACTTTGAGAACTTGACCGTTTTTTCAAAACAAGACCTATTTTGGGTAGCAAAGTAGCTGGTCGCGATTATACTGAAAGATACCTCAAAATTGAAAATACTTTATTCTCAAAAGTCTCTTGATCAAAAACGCGGTTAAATCAATCAGCTCTATCCGAACGGCCACACACACACATTCAATTTTTGTCTATTGAACGTTTATCGATGATCAATAGTCAATAGTTAAAAGGACAACGGACGGTTTCTGATAAATTCCAGTCGTTATCTTCACAAAAATATATAGGGCCATTTTCTTGCAGAAACCGTCCGTTGTCCGTTTATCCAAGAATATATTCTTTTACTCATCCTTTCTTTTTTCCTTCCCCTTCCTCTTCTTACCTATTTTTTCTTTAAATGCATGTACCTAAGGAACAACTTGTAAGTGCCACCAGGTCCTATATAATTGCAACGCCGATTCAAGCTTGGTGGACATGGGTACTTTCCTCCTTCTTAATAAATACTTTGAACCAACGTCTTTAGAAATTAAAAATGCGTTTGCCTGTGGACCCGGTGAAACTGTAGGCCATTTTGTCTTACATTGTTTGCTACACAATAAGGCTCGCACACATTTATTTCATGTTCTAACAAGAGTTTTAAATAACAATAAAGTTATCATTGACCATATTTTATTACGTGATCCATGTATAGCTACCCTATCCGTGTCGCAACTGAGAGATGTCTATTTAGCTATCATTAATTATATTAAAGGTACTAATCGTTTTCGGCCGCCTCGATGCTGTGTATTTCATTCTCTTGCAACTCAACTATTCATCCTGGCAGACAGATTATATCCCACTCTCCTCCCTCTTTATTGTCTAGATTATCCATTCAGATTAATCTACTGAATTGTATTCTTATTTTGTTCTTTTTTTTACCACATAGCATGTTCATTCGACTGTTTGTATTTGGATTATATGCTTTTATATGTATTGTCTTAATGATTTCTCATTCAAATTAGTCTTTCTTTCTCTCTCTTACTTTGTTGCTTCACTCTCTCTCAACGTATAATGGGTTAGACCCGCTTTGTTGTGTAACTTAGTTTCAAATAAACTGGTTTAGAACAAATAGCCTGTCAACATGTAACCTTAAAAGATATTCTAGGCTATTGGATAGAGCACATCTGAAAACCTATAAACAGAGTGTTCATACGCTTTCGCATTGTTTCTAAAGCAAATGTCCATCTGCCTAGCAAAACGTTGACAGAATTATAACAAAGTGCCAAATGTAATTTTCAATGTATTGATGAACAAAAAAATATAAGAAATGTAATGAAAATGCAAACAATAATAATGGAAGTGTAAATAAAAATGTCATGAAAATCACAACCAGATTGGCTGTCACTTCCCAAGCATGAAAAAGAAAGCTAGTAGCGCCCGCTGCAGCTAGCTACACTAGCTTCATAACCCGCTGCAACTAGCTGTAAAAAAATGTAAAAGTATTGAAGCGGGTTAGCGGGCGCTGCAGCTAGCTACGCTAGTTCCCATACCCGTTGCAGCTAGCTGCATAAACGTACATACCATGGAGTGGACGCTATAGCGGCCCATTAGATACCTGCTGCAATTTGTACCTGCTAGTTACAAATTGTCGATGAAAGCTTAATACGATAAATAACCCGTTGCAGCTAGCTACTTTTATTAGTAGTTTCAAAGAGAAACATAAGCTAGCTACAACGGCCGCTGTAGCGCCCGTTGCATCGCGCCGTAACAAAGAACAGATCAAGAGCATAGAAAATTTAAAATGAAACTCGGTAGAGCTAGCTGCAACACGCGTCTCAACGCTAGTTGCAATCTAGCATCTACTCTGACTAGCTACATCGGTCTGTTTAGCGGCCGTTTCAGCTAGCTATTGTAATATACGCGTTACGAAAAATGCCCTAGTTGAAGCGGCAGCTAAATTGGGCGCTGCAACTAGTTTGGCAGTGGGTAATGGATACATTATTCAAACTAGTTTGACTAGCTAGCTACAACGCCCAGTTTAGCTCCCGCTGCAATTAGTCGTTAATACTAGCTGCAACAACCGCTAAATTGGGCGCTGCAACTAGCTTATCTTTCTCTATGAAACTATATCAACTAGTTGTGAATCTAGTCGCAGCGATTCTAAAGCGTCTCATCTGATTTCTCTAGCTAGCGTCATTGAATGTCGATGTGCATCTGTTCAATAAATGCGGTTAAGAAGTCAAATTGCAACAAAACAGTAAATGTTTTCTTTGTTGCATTTCACCGATGTTAATTTTAACAAGCACATGAACCAGTTCATAATTAAGTATTGTTCAAAGAGTAGAAGAAGCGCAAAATACATGCATCAAAAAGTTAAAGCATTAAGAAAAGCATAAAAAAGAGCCTAGAGCCCTTTTTTGACCCTAGAGCTCTAGTTAGTGACGTTATTACCGATAAGGCAATCGATATCGCATGTGATGATAACATCACGCTTGGGCTTATGTTGAATGTGTTCCCTAGAGGAACTGACGCTCGCACTGCTCTGCAATACTAGTACGGTGGGACCAATTTGACTGTGCCCATGAAATCCCTCTATATCTACCGTACTGGACAAAAACAGTATTCGCTACATCCACAAGCCGCCAGCGATACCGAAATTATTACGCCGAGGCTACCACTAGAACGATAATCACTTTTTTCTTTCCTCTTATATATTGAAAAATAGAATTGCAAAGAAAAAAGTGAACAACTTATCGTCCTACCACTCCCGACTGACATCTGTAGCATCCTTACAACAGCAGAAAATCTGAATCGACAGTTCGATTCAGAATATTTTCTCTTACTATACTGCAGTGTTCAGCTCCGATCTAGGTAATTTATTTATAGAGCGCTCGTTTCTACGTACAACTATTTTATTCGTTTTGTATGCTAACCAATAGAAATTCAAGATGGCTGTCTTGCCTAAAATTTTACGTAGAGTAGCTTGTAAGAAGTTACCTGCCAATAACAGCTGCCAATAGCAGGTAACTTCAGCAGATGCAAAAAGCTAGCTGCCAAAACGAAAAAATATGGAAGAGGCCAATTTTCGGCCGCCATATTGGTATGGCGGCCGAAAAAGTAACTTTTTTAATTAATGTTACATTATTAAATGAGATAAACTGCATATAATAGTTAGTTAATGAAAATAGAAGACAGCGCGTAAGCAGGTATAATGAAAGGTGAAAAAAAAGCAATACGCCATCTATCATTTAATATTCTTTTGTTGCTTGATGAAATAACGAATGAGGACGCATCTGTTATAAACAAAGCGTTATAAGAAAACGGACAAAAAGAACTGTTATTTTCTGCTGTTGTATCGAAGCTGTTAATTGTTTTCCTTTTGTTGCTGAAGTGATAAAAATAAATGAGTTGAACTCACATGCCTTTTCTTTTAACACGGATTTTGCTGATGGGTTGTCTAATTTTACTCTAGACGTTTTGAAGGCGCTTAAACTAGCTTTTGAGATCTAATAAAAAATATTTCGTTACTCTTGTAGTAAGGAACCTTTCTGTAATAAACATTAGCTGTTTGGTTTTAAGTGTCTAGGTCAAATGTTATAGAAGGAAGGTCTGTACTAGTGGAGTTTTTCTCAATCACATGACTTTGTGCTCAGGAAAGTCACATTTACTCATGTGATACATAATCTTTTTTGTCCTATGTGCGAGTTTCTTTAAGTAAACATTATTTTTCCACATGATGAATATAACGAACTGAGCATGTATACATGTGTATTGAGTATAACAGTGTTTTCGAAAAAATTATATGACGAGATACATGTGCTTCGTCCTTTTTTTAACGTAATATAAAGACGATTTTTCTGCGGTTTTCTGGGCGTGTATGTGTGTTTTCTAATCTACTTGAAACTACAATTTTCTAGAGGATGAGAGAGGAAGCTAAAAGCAAGAAATTTGTTCTACTTTTCTATAGTCACAGAGTGAAACTATTCTTCTTGAATCAGTCTATGAAATCAAGGCTAGTTATCTTTTCCACATATGCACCAACTCTAACGTATCTTCCTGTGTAAAAAGTGACTAAGATCTCAAAATACAAATACATGGAAGTGAGAAAATGCATTCAAGGATTGATGTCTTCACAAATGTGAGTATCCTCGGTGTAAGATCGCTTTGTCGTTAGTGGCTTTCAGGATGTAGTGAGGATCAGTTCGGTCCTGTTTGACGCACAGAGGATTGGGGCTCAGCCATTCCGCCTCATTCACAGGATGCTAGATTGGCTCTAGTAACGAACTGATCCGAGCGCTAATATCCACGGGTATACATTCTCTGGAAGTCCCAGCGTGAATGCTCAATGCTTCACATACGGCAAACGTAACCTTATCGGTAAAACTCACAAATGAATCAAAAGACATCAGCCTTTCTGACTTTTATTTTGACGTCAAGTTCCAGTCACCTGTTGAACTAGAATTGAGAGTTACAGCAAAGAACTTATTAAATTTGAGAAAAAAGATTGACTCCTCAGCTCTAAAAAATTAAATATTTCAGTATTGTCACGTGTAAAACTAGGAGTGTTTGGGTAGGAGAATAGAACGCGAAAATTGCTACATGCTTCCTTTGAATCTCTGATCTCACTCTTATACAAGCGTTTTCTTTTTCGGATAGAAATCGCGGTTTGATAGAAACATTAAAAATTGATTGCATCATGTTCTCAAAGAAAAATCCGAGTAAAACATGGTGGAATCAAGTTTA